CTCGTTTCCCTTTCTCCCCCTCCCCCCTCCTCCCCCGCCTCCCTCCTCCGCACTGGCCCTTCTCCCCCTCTCTTCTCCCCCTCCTCCACAATTACACAATATGAATACTACTCTCCCACTTCCCCTGATGGCGTCCGGAAGATATTCGGCACCCCCCCGCGTACTGTTTTTTTACACACAGGATTCCCCGGAGTTGGGTTTTCGCTTGTGTTTTTTTCTAAAATGCTGCTCTCGCTGAGGCGCTGGCCTAATTTTCGGGCTCCCGCTCCTTCCGAATCGTGTTCCCGCTGCAGCGCTGGCCTCATTTCCGCGCTCCCGCTCGTTCCGAATCGTGCTCCCGCTGCAGCGCTGGCCCAATTTCTGCGCCTCTCGTTGTTCCAAAACGTGCTCCCGCTGCAGCGCCGACGTTTTCGATCCTTTTTAAGAAGCCCCAAATCTAGAAAATGATCCCCGGCAAAAACATTGGAGGTGATTACACATCCGGTGTCGATTCGTTGATTTTTGGGGCCGCAGAAAGCCCCCCCCCCTTTTGGGCGGCGTCCTTTTCCGCACAGGATTCCCGGGAGTTTGGTTTTCATCTATGTTTTTGAAAATCCGAGTCTTTCCGGTCCTTCAGAATGTTGCTCCCGCTGCAGCGTTCGTCCTATTTTCCGCGCCGCTGGTCGTTCCAAATCGTGCTGCCGCTGCAGTGCAACGGTCCCCGGCCCCATGCTATGATATGCTCCGCTCCAGTGGCGTTCTTCGGCTCTTCAACAATGGTGCTCCCGCTGCAGCGTTGGTCCCATGTCTGCGCCTCTGCTCATTCCAAATCGCGATTGGCAATTTCTACCTCTACCATTACTCAATATGAATGCACTTGCACAACTCTGACATCGGACCCACTCTACCATTACCCAATATGAATGCTACTCTCCTTTCACCCCTGCAGAAATTTGAGATCCGGGTTGGGGACGCGCGTAACGGCAGCGGGCAGCTGGCGCGGGTGCCGCTCCGGCGCGGTCGCGTCGTCGTCGTCGTCGTCTTCGTCGCCGGTCGTCCTCATCGTCGTCGTCGTCGTCGTCGCCGTCGTCGTCGTCGTCGTCGTGGTTGTCGTCGTCGTCGTCGTCTTCGTCGTCGTCGTCTTCGTTTTCATCGCGCCGTCGTCCTCCTCCTTTCCCTCTTAGGTAACAGGGTCAGATGCGAAGCCCGATTCGGTGAGAGGACAATGAAGTAGCTCAATGGGAAGGGATGGGAGGGAGGGGTAGGATGTCAGATGTTGACGCGAGCGCACCTAGCTTGCCCCTCCCCCTCCCCCTCCCCCTGCCCCTCCCCCTTCCCCTCCCCCTCCCACTCCTGCGGGGCCGCTCTGGTGGGCCCGAGGTGGCCCTCCTTCCCAATCTTTTCCTTCCCTCCCCATCCCTATCATCATCTCTGCCTCCGCCCCCCCCCCTCCACATCACCGTCCCTGGCCCCCGCCCACGGTCCCCCTTGACCGTCAGCGTCGCCATTCCTCATCGCATTTGTTCTTATTTGCTCCGCCGCTTTCTGCCTCGCTCTCTCCCTGACTTTTCGTCTTCGCCCGGCCACCCACGACTGGGGCATGGTGGAGGTCACCCCAGCGTGCGTCGCTCCCGCGCTCTTATCATATGTGCTGTTTTTCTGGGCGCGCTCACAGGAGGTGCAGAGCCAGTGGCAACAAACACTCCTGCGTCTTGTGCTGCACGCCTCCTCGCCGCTGCTTCGTCCGTGACAGCAGCATCGGTGCACACCGTGTGGTAAACAGCTGTCTCCTCTAGCGACGCATGCACACCGGCTTATGCTGTCCCTCTTTTTCTCATCCTCCTCGCCTTCTTCCCTCCTTCGCGTGTCCCCTCCCCCCTCTTTTCCTCTTTCCCTCCGAGGAAGCTCTTCTTCCCCCGTCCTTCTCCTCGTCGTCTTCGTCCTCGTGCTGGCCTCATCATCGTCTTCCTCTTCCTGCTCATCCTCCTCGTCGTTCTCGTCCTCGTCTCCGTCTTGTCTACTCTGTCCTCGTCTTCGTCCTCGTCGTTTTCTTCGTCCTCCCTCATCCGTCTCCTCCTCGTCATCGCCGTCGCTCTGTCTCCGCCTCGTACTCTTTCTCGTTGTCGTCGCCTTCCTCCACCACCTCTCTCGTCTTCGTCCGCCCCCCTCGCCCCCCTCGTCCTTGCCCTCGTCTTCGTCCTCGTCCCGTCCCCTCCAGCTTCGTCGACGTCGTCCCGTCTCTCGTCTCCCCCCTCCTCATCCACGCCCTCATCACGTCCTCCCCGCCTCCTCCTCTCGTCCTTGTCCTCCTCCCTTGTCCTCGCCTGCCTCGCCCTCGCTCTGGTCCTCGTCTTCTTCTCTCCTCCTCCTTTCCTTGCGCAATTTCCTGCCCCGGGCCAGACCGCCGGGCCAGTGATGGAGGTCGCACCTCGGGGCAAGGTTTTTGTCAAGGAGTGGTACGCCCCTTGCCGGCTCCCCCCCCCCGCATTGCGATGTAGATCGGGGGCGGAAAAGAGGGGGGTGATGACTAGGGGGGGGTGGATATCATGGCGGGGGCCATGATATCTCCCCAGATTTCATGGCGCCTCTTCTTATTTCATTACGTCCCTGGCCCCCCGCTGGGCAGTGCACATGCCGCCGGTCATGATTTGCACACCCCCTTCTTGGACACCCCTCTTTGGGCCGCTCCCGAGTAGACGCTGCCCACAGTTCATCATGTAGCGACAGAGAGTTGTCAATGTGTGTTCAGCATGGGCAGTCGTGCTTCGTCGTTTCTGGGACGGTAATCACGCACTCATCTTTGCCGTCGTTATCGTCGTGGCTCCTCTCTCGCCCTCCTCGCCCCCCTTCCCTCCTCCCTCCTCCTCGCCCCCTCCTGCTCGCCCACCTCTCCCCCCTCTTCCAACCCTTCTCCTGATATATTACCTCCTCCTCGTCTGAACACCAGACCGTGTCGGTAGGGTGGGCCGGGCGTTTCGTCTGAGACTTACCGCCCTGTGTGCGACACCGAAGCTCGACATTCCAACAGTTACACGGATGGAGGGGTGGTGGTGCTTTCAAACATTGCTCTAGCCGAGCGCTGTGCACATTTGTTTTGACAGCTTCCAGCAGTTACAAGGATGGAGGGGGATCGTTTTCAAGATGTGGTTCCCGCCTCAGCGCCGCGCGTATTTGTTTTAGAAGCTTCAGCAGTTACGCGGATGGATGGCGGCTCGTGTTCAAAACAGAACGTCCGTTTGATTTCTAATCTTTATGACCAGAATCAGCCACGCGCAGAGGGGGGTGGGGGGAGGGGGGAGGGCTTCTTAGAAGCACCCCTGCTTCTTAGAAGGCGCGGGCTTATCTATAGATGTAAGGCCAGCGCCTTCTAAGAAGCAGCCGCTTCTAAGAAGCCCCCCCCCTCCCCCCACCTCCTTGTGCGCGCCGCCAACAGAAGCCTCAAAGTGTACAGCAGTGGCACGGGTGAAGGGCCGAAGGGCGGCTCCTTTTCAAGCCGGGGCTTTCGCTTGAGACTCGGCTTTCTGACGGGACGTCTGAACTTCAGGGGCCATGGCGATGGGCCAGTTCTCCGCCACTACTACCATGGGTAGGATGGGGGGGAAGGGAGGATGGGGAGTCCTCCTCCTCCTCCTCCTCCTCCTCCTCCTCCTCCCTCTCCTGCCTCCCTCTCCTGCCTCCCTCTCCTGCCGTCCCGTCTGGGGTGCCTGCCCAAGAGGACCCTACTCAGGTTAGGTTTTCCATGACGGCTGAGCGCACAACTGTCGGAGCAGTTCAAGTATACAACGTGGTGGTCGAGCTCAACCGCCGCAGCACTGTCGTGAGACCACACAAAGAGCATTGTCCGCCAGGGTGTCTGACGGTGGAGCGGCAGCTTCGAAAATATTGCAGGCACTGCGCAATCGTGCTTTGCCGCTCCCAGTCATGAGGTGGGCCTGCCACCTTTGGGAATCCTTCTCACGGCGGCCGCTCCCTCACGTTTTACACCCTCCAGCTTCAATTTGGGCCAGTTAGCTTGCGAACCGACTTCCAGGCAGAGGTACTTGTCTACACAACCAATTTCTGGATGTAATGGCTACGAGGAGGAGGAGAAGGATGATGAGGAGTTCAATGATGCTAATGGTTCTTGCTCTGATGGCACATATGATGGTGGTGGTGATGATGCTGCTTGCTGATGCAGCTGCTGGTGCTGCTGCTTGCTGATGATGCTGAGGACGATGAGGTTGATGATGACGACGACGATGATGCGGATGATGCTGCTGCTGCGGCCGTTGCTGCTGCTGAGGAGGAGCTGGAAGAGGAGGAGGAAGAGGAGGAGGAGGCGGAGGAGGAGGATGATGATGATGATGATGATGATGATGATGATGAGGATGATGAGGAGGAGGAGGAGGAGGAGGAGGAGGATGCTGCTGCTGATGATGATGATGATGATGATGATGAGGAGGAGGAGGAGGAGGAGGAGGGGCGGAGGAGGAGGAGGAGGAGGAGGAGGAGGAGGAGGAGGAGGAGGAGGCTCTCCTCCTCCTCCTCCTCCTCCTCCTCCTCCTCCTCCTCCTCGTCCGCCTCCTGACGCTGCTTCTGCAGCCAGGGCTCCCTCTCCCGATCTCCCACTTCCGAGCGCGCGGGGGCCCCGGCAGGCGCTGCGCCCCTCGATCGCGCGAAGCCTCCATGCTTGTGCCGCCTGCCCCCTCCTCGGAGGCTCCCGGAGACGCGGGCGCGCAATTGTCGGGCCGGGCGAAAGGGGGGGACTAGTCGTCGTCGTCGTCTTCCTCCTCCTCCCTCATCGTAGTGGTCGTCGTCGTCGTCTTCATCCTCCTTTTCCTCCTCCTCCTCCTTCCCCCGCCCCCACGCGGGAAACAGGGATGGCCCGAAGAGGCCCTCCAAGGGCTGGACGAAAGGGGGGGATTGGGAAAGGGGGGGTTACGACATTTGCTGCATGCAGCTGGTTTCGGCCTCACCGAGGGGCCCATTCCTCGATACATAGCCGCCTCCGGCGCCGGGAGGCGCCAGGAAAATCAGCTACG